GCGTTTGCAGGAGCCTCTGGTTTCTTGAACTAAAAGGCGCCTAATGCCGGCTCTTCGGCGCCGGCTACCTGTCTTTCCTACAGTGGCATGGTTCCAGGCGCTCGGTGCAACACCATCTCCATGCCCGGGCCTCGTACGGAGCACGGAGCCTGCCAGAGCACCCCTCCCTGACCTCTCTCGCTCTCGACCCACGGGCGTTGAGATTCTCCACCCGCTGCACGGGTGCAAAAGGGCCTCCCCCTGGTGCCCCCAGACTGGCCAAACCTGTCATTACATGACATCCGCCGTCCCAGAAGCAAGGCTCCACACAGCGTTGCGCCATGGGACTCCCCCACCGCGCCGGTGCGACTGGTCGGAATCGATCGCGCCTCATGGTCTCAAATGCTAAGGTGCTCGTGGTCAATGATGAGAGTCGTCCCCACAGAGTCGGTTTGACCTTGTCGGAGAGAAAAGTAAGTGCAGCAAATCCACCAATTTGCAAGCTACTTCCACTCCAGTCTCCTCCCCCCAAGAAGCATCCAAGTGCAATACTATACTCTTTAGCCATTGTAACCCCCCTCAGGATTCCATTCTGATATCCCCGTCTCTCGGGTGTCCACTGAGGAAAACAAAATTGAGAGGCCCTCCACGTGGTAACCGATCTCCCCTAGTTCTCTCAGGATCTTCTTTCTTGATGAAATTGGTTTGACGCTAGAGGGAGAGCACTGCCAGTCGGGCATCTCTTTCCATGACCAAACACAACCGTTCCTACTCCAGCGCCGAGGTGTCGAGAGAGACCACCGAAAACCTCTACGAGTTGGGACTGCTCAGTCGTCCTCGATCAAGGTCTCGGACGAGCACAAACCATTCGAAACCGGCCCACAGTAAGACCTCCAGCAACATTCCTTTTTTTTGCGGCCGGGATTCCCCTTCTCCAGCGTTGTTGCCACAGATCATTTCTGCTCCAGCAAGACACACACGGCAAGGATAAGGGAGAAGAAAACTGACTCATGGTTTTGTACTTCCCAGACCAGGTCTCGCGAGCCCGCCACGACGGGTATCCTCCTCGCGTGGCCTCCTCACTGGGCGGTGCTTCGCATAACTCGACCTACAAACAATCCAGCATCTCCTCTGGCACCTTGGGCAGGCCGCATACCCCGAACGATCATCGTCCGCGTACGAGGGACCAACGCCCGCCTCCTTCCCCCACGACAAGCGTCCCAGGAGCTGGGCATCCCATGGCCGGCATGCTCGACTCGGACCGCTCACGTTCACGACGAGAAAGGACGTTTGTTGGAGGGGAATGCGCCGCTTGCGAAGAGCTTTTGGAGCATACATTGAGGGGCGAGAGGGTTTTACAATTTTCCTGTGGCCATGTCGCTCACGAGGCTTGCTTTTACGAATACATCCGCGACTCGGACTCCCAGTACTGCCCGACATGCGATGCCCCCTTGAGCCTGGATTCCTTCCGGGGAGGCAGCATCCTGGATTTGAGTAGGTTTCCCTCTCTCTCCCGTCTGCAAATCTCACTCCTAATTCAAATTCACAGCCAAATTGAGTAATATGGTTCGAGCGGTCGCTTCCAAAGACGTATCTTCGCCGCGGAGTTCACAAAATACACCCATGCCCTGGGAGGCCAGCCGACAAGTGGTCCAAGATGACTCCTACAGCTCACAAGGAATGAGTGAGAGACTCAGCCGCGAGAACACCAACCGAGATAGTCGAGACAGCCAAAGAATGCGCATCGAACGCCTCGGCATTGGTCATGGCCCTCACGGATCGCAAACTCATTCACGCAACGACAGTGGCAATGCTTCCTCGACTGATTACACCAATGACCATGCCGGTCACCCACGAAAGCATGATTACGATCTCCACGCCATGGAAACGACTGTCCCAGGAACTCAGATTAAAGATATCAAGCAACCCATCCCGGTTCCCACCGTTACCGTTCGCAGCGAGTATCCGACCTTGACTCGGTCGCGTCAGCAGCAGACCGTTACATGTTTAGTTACTATTGAAGTGCCCGAAGGTAAATTCCATGGCCCAATGGATGAAATGCAGAACACGCCCCCGGTCCCTCCGCTGCCCAGCGACTCTGGAGTCGGTATTCCCGCAATGCATAGGCATCAAGAAACTCAGCAGCCACCTCTCGCGTACGAACCTGCCGAAATCCTCGACGAAATCACCGAGGAGCTGAGGATGCGAGTGGATAACTGGCACGGGCTTGAGTTTCAGAGATTTGGCAAATTACGTCTGCACAGTGTTATCAGAGTTGGCAAGGACCGCCACTCGTGGCAAGAGCTTGAGTGTTACCTGTTTGGAGAGATGCTCATTTGCGTCAAGGAGAAGAAGAACGCCCAGCCTCCATTGATCACCGAGTCCGGCCGCAAACTGACGAGGTGTACCTTGAAAGGCTCTATTCTGATCAAGAAACACTTGCGACAGGTGCATGCATCTCCCGATGAGTGTATCTTGACGTTAAATCTGTCAGTGGCAGAGTTGCCAACCTTTCACCTTTTGTTCCAGGATCGCAACAAGCTGGAAATCTGGCAACGAGCATTACGAGACCTTCATGCCACCGAACCCTCTCCTCGCTTCAACCACGACTACGAACAAGATACCTCGGGCACGGATGAAGAAGAATACGGTCGCCAGAATCGAGCCGTTCGACGCGTGCCTTCTGTCGCGTCGTCTTACGGAGGGCCACGGTCGGCCACGACTGCGGCCACGGAATATTCCATGTCAAAGAACATGGTTGACAGGCGAGTCCCTCCGTCACTACATGTCCCGATCGATATTGTGGTTGTTATTCCCGTGTCATCTTCTATGCAAGGTCTGAAAATCACCTTGTTGAGAGACACACTGCGATTTCTCGTGCACAATTTGGGCGATCGAGATCGGATGGGTCTCGTTACCTTTGGTTCAAGTGGCGGAGGCGTTCCGGTGGTTGGAATGACGACCAAGACATGGGGTGGATGGAACAAAGTCCTCAACTCGATCCGCCCCGTTGGACAAAAGAGTTTGCGGGCGGATGTGGTTGATGGCGCCAATGTGGCAATGGACCTCCTGATGCAACGCAAGGCCGCAAATCCGATCTCGACCATCCTCCTGATCAGCGATTCCTCGACTTCCGAAATGGAAGGGGTGGACTTCGTTGTTCAGAGAGCCGAAGCTGCAAAGTATGTTCGCCGCTCGCCTTCATGTTGCTTCCTCTGCTAACTGTCAATAGGGTTGGTATCTACTCCTTCGGCCTTGGACTTACCCACAAGCCAGAAAGCATGCTGGAGCTATCGAACCGAACAAAAGCGTCGTATCTGTACGTCAAGGACTGGATGATGCTCCGCGAATGTGCTGGAGGTGTTCTAGGCGCTCTTCAGTCGATATCACACCAGAATGTGAAGCTCAAGCTCAAGCTGCCTGAAGGATCCCCTGCCAAATTTGTCAAAATCAACGGTGCCCTCCAGACGACCAAGAGAGCCACTGGTCGGGACGCTGAAGCAAGCTTGGGAGATCTTCATTTCGGCGACAAGCGCGATGTGTTGGTGCAGTTGGTGATTGATCCGGATACCTCGACCTCGGAGCCGGCGCCACAGGACGCTTGGGAGTCTATCGTGTCTGGGCTCGAAGCCCTAGGTGGTTCGCTTGATACCGATGACCAGAGGGTTCAGAGTGTGGAGGAACTGCCTCTGCTCCAGGCCGATCTCTCATTTGGCGACTTGCACCGCGAAGGCTCGATCGTACAACTACCCCGGCCCTCCCTGCTGACCATCACCATGCTGCCCTCGAACCGCCGCTCACGCCAGAATGGAAGGCCGCCGACACCTCCGATCCCTCCGCATCCCTCCATTGTCCAAAGGCGTATGGAGTTGTTGACGTCCGACATGTTAAGCCGCGCCCTCACTCTTGTCCAGCGTGGTCAGCACGAGCGTGCACACCATCTCCTAAACGAAACAAGGACCATTCTCAAAGGGCTAGGCAAAGGTGGTCTACCGCCACTACCTCCCGGCGCCACCCAACCATTGAATAAACGACATAGCCCACAATCCAAGGCAGGCAGCCCACGGGCCGCCACACCAGACCACGCCCGCGACCACAGCCCCCATTCCGACACCAGCACACCTATTCCGCGCTCAACCAATGTTGATCACACCATTATGAATGCTCTCGACGCCGACATCGAAGCTAGCCTGGAGTGGATCAACCATCCAGCCGTGTTCTCCCGCGACTCCCGCAAAGCCGTCCTCCAGGCAATCGGAGTCATCTCATCCCAACGAGCTTATACATTCAGAACTGCATCTGAATCTTTATGGGCAGAAAGAGTCACTGGAGTCAAGAGGCTCACGGAGCAGTCGAGAGAATGGAGGGAGACAGGCGACGACGCTCTGACTGAAGAGTAATATGAGGCCTTTTTACGACATGATTCTATGTACAAATTCCTCCCATATGTGCGTTGTACATTTTCGTCATTATGTTTGCTTGTTCGGAAGGTCAGCGAAAGAAAGAATGAACCCTCTCTCTGTGTCTTCTGGCGAAGGAACTTTTGCCACAGCACTTGAAAAGTTTGAGCGGTTCGTATGTGTTTTATTTTTTTGGAACATTTATACCCAAATGTAACAGAAGCGGCTTGATGACAGCACTCGAAGCGACATTTCTATAGATTACGCCTTGCTCGGTGCATAGTGGCATATAGTATTGCGTCGAATCTATCGACCTTGACATGGTATTTATTCTTGTTTAAACTAATAATATCAAATCAGGCATGGAAATGTACCGAGTATTTTGATATTGTATCTTGATCTTTGTAGTTGCCATCCTCGACTGCTGATTGGTCGATGCAGGGTTCAGCCTTGTTCAGCCTCGCGCCACACGAAATTTTTGCTTGTCGCCGCCTCGCCAAGAAAATATGCCTGTAGAGAATTGTCTTCCATACAACAATGAGTTCCTCGAAGTATCGATCCTCTCTTGATCCTCAGGGGCTAGAGTAGGGAGATAAAAGGTCTGCAGCATCTTGTTGCACCATGGAAGACATAGCAGTATACTGCTCCTGGGCTGATGCGCAACTCAATGCAGACCACTCATTTCTCAAAGAACTTCCGACTGAAGTCCGATCACTTAATACCAGATCAACAACAGCATCTCAGTATTTGGAGACACTTGCCAGTGCTACTCGGGATCCCCGATGTACAGATGTGCTTTTCTCGCTATACAAACCGCTCTTCCCCGAGCTGCTCGCCAGGTGGTCAACCCCTCCTCGCAGCACTGATCTCACTGACACTATCACCACCATTTCATGTCTGGCTCGGGTCCTGCCACTTGCGACGTATCTGCGCCCTCATGTCAAGTCGCTTCTTCGGTCAGACCATCTGAGGCGTCATCTGATGGGTCTGAGGAGTGCTACCTCTGAGCTCCGTGACGACGATGTCCAACATACACTGCTACTCGCGGTCTTCCGCCTCCTCTCCGTTGACCGACGCATCCTCGCTGACATTGTCACTCCGGTCTTTTTCTCGTCCTTTTTACGCCATCGCTCATTGCCAGTCAGATACCTGGCTGTCCAGTGCCTGTGCATAACCATGCATTTTGCCGACGCTTTTTCCGAGACAATGGTCAGGACGTACGTTGGCGAGGAGGCCATCTTGGGGGAATGGGAGGGCCGGACGATTGACTATCGACTGCTGAAGCTTTGGGAAGAGAGACGTTGGAATGATCTGACCCGTGCACATGCCGAAATTGAAAAGTCGTGGAATTCATTACAGACGCCACCTTCGAATGCTCCCAAGCTGCTTGCTGCCAGTTTCTCACCACGCCTCGTTCATATCGGTGGGGTTCTTCACCTACCCTTGGGCGACCACACGCAAAGCCCCTCTAAGTCCTCTACTTCTTCGTTCATCCCTACTGTCACGGCACAACACAATTTACGTCAGCTTGGTGAGTGTTTGTTGGATTCCCGACCGATCCTCATCCTGGGACCGGCCAGTTCCGGAAAGTCCTCGTTAGTTCACGAAGCCGCCAGGGCTCTAAATCAATCGTCGTCGATGATTACATTGCATCTCAACGAACAGACTGACGCTAAGAGTTTATTGGGTATACACACCTCTTCGGCGGATGGCAAATCTTTCACCTGGCAACCCGGTGTGTTGACCAAGGCCATGCAACAAGGACGATGGGTTCTGATAGAAGATATTGATCGTGCACCCGGGGAGGTTATGGGAGTGCTGCGTCCACTTCTTGAGAACGGTGATCTCTTTCTGGCTAGCCGTAACGAAAGAATATCTCCGAGAGATGGTTTTCGCATATTGGCAACTATTGAGTCAAGCGAGCAGGCTTCCCCCGTCGCAAATTCTCGCCAGTCGTGGCTACTCAACCCCCGACTCTGGCGCACGGTCCAAGCGGCCAGCTACCCGCCTGAAGAGGTCGAGGCCTTGCTTCATTCTCGATATCCTAATGCTAGTGTTTTCATTCCGACTATCCTCCACATTCACGGAAATCTTCTTCGTCTATACAAAGACAACTATGCTCTGAAAAGACTCCAGACACGCATGCCCTCTTTAAGAGACCTGCTCAAGTTGTTGAGAAGGATGGATCGCAGACTGGAGCGTCACGGCGCCATTTCAAAATCGGACCCTCTGCCCGAGCAAGCAAAATTTGACATATTCAAGGATGCTGTTGATTGCTATGCAGGCTACCTCGACAGCGCAGAGCTCCATGAGCTGATGGCTGATAGTATTGCTGCCGAACTGAACGTATCACCCCAGCAGATGCGGCATGTTTTGTATGAAACCTTTCCAACTGCTTCTGAGGACAAGGACGTGGTGCAGGTTGGACGAAGCCGCCTGAAAATAGTCGCCACTCGCCGTCGACAGACCAAGACAGCACCTTTTGCATTCACCATTTCGGCCGGCAGGACTCTGGATCGGATTGCAGTGTGCGCGGATTGTTCTGAACCGTGCCTCCTGGTTGGTGAAACTGGCGTCGGGAAGACAACTCTGGTGCAATATGTTGCCAACTTGGTAGGCCAGACACTTACTGTGATCAATCTTTCACGACAAAGCGAAGCTGGTGACCTGATTGGGGGACTGAAGCCTGTAACAGTCCGATCTCTGGTCCTCCCGATTGTTGAAAGGTTTAACACCTTGTTCGATGATACTTTCTCTGCGAAGAGAAACGAGAAATTCCAGACAGCCCTCGCGAGGGCATTTGCGAAACAGAACTGGACGAGACTGCTGATTCTGTGGAATGAAGCCATTCAAATGGCGGCAAACTCTCTCAGCACTGCAGAACATCCCCAAACTAATGGATCTGTCCATGCCAATAAGAAGCGTAGGCTAGACACACCGAGATACGAAGTCTTGCGCGCGAGGTGGGTCGAATTTGCTGAAAGTGTGAAGCAGGTTCGTGCTTTTGTGGACCACAGTGACAAGACACATACTTTTGCCTTCGTCGAGGGCAGATTGGTGCAAGCAGTCCGTGAAGGCGGGTGGGTGCTGTTGGACGAAGTCAATCTGGCACCCTCAGACACTCTGGATCATATCGTCAGTCTACTACATAACGGGGATGAAGAGAAGCCGTCATTACTTCTTACCGAGGCAGGTAATATCGAGACCATCATTGCTCATCCAGACTTTCGAGTCTTTGCCGCGATGAATCCTGCAACCGATGCAGGAAAGAAAGACCTCCCACCTGCCCTGAGATCACGATTTACCGAGATATATGTCCCCTCTGGTGACAGCAGTCTGGAGGACTTGGTGAAGATTATTCAGACCTATCTGGGATCCCTGCTTGATAATGACAAACGAGCTGCCCTTGATCTGGCGAACTCGTACCTCGAGCTGAAGAAGCTCAATGAAGCACATCAGCTTACCGATGGGGCAGGCGACACACCGCATTTCAGCATTCGATCTCTCGTTCGGTGTTTGTTATATGTCTTGCAACACAGCGCAAGCCACGGGCTTAGACGTGCCATGTACGAGGGATTCTCGATGAGCTTTTTCACAGTCCTGAGCAGAGCAGCCGAAAATCTAGCCCTGGCCTCGCTTGAAAAGCACCTATTCTCCGGTATCAAGAACCGCAAAGCATTCTTCAGCCAACAGCCCAAGATGCCGCAGAACGGGGAGGACTACATTGCATTCAGGCATCACCTCGTCAAGAAAGGCCCTGCAGCTCCAGACTTCCAACCACATTATATCAGAACACCCTCCGTTGAGCGCAATTTACTCAATCTGGCTCGCGCCACCTCCATGCGGCGCTTTCCTATTCTTCTACAAGGTCCAACATCGGCTGGGAAGACGAGCATGGTGGAGTATCTCGCAAAGTTGTCAGGGAACAAATTCGTCAGGATCAACAATCATGAGCACACAGACCTTCAAGAGTATCTGGGCAGCTATATGTCAGACACCGACGGCAAACTCGTATTCCAAGAAGGTGTCTTGGTGAACGCGCTGCGTCTTGGACACTGGATTGTGCTCGACGAATTGAACCTGGCTCCAAGTGATGTGCTCGAAGCTCTGAATCGCTTGCTCGACGATAACAGGGAACTACTCATTCCAGAGTCTCAGGAAATCGTGCGTCCGCATCCCAACTTCATGCTCTTCGCCACGCAGAATCCGGCTGGCTTGTACGGAGGACGCAAGCGGCTGTCTCGAGCCTTTAGAAACCGCTTCCTCGAAATCCACTTTGACGATATTCCAGAGGATGAATTGGAGATAATACTGCGAGAACGGACCCAGATTGCTCCATCGTTCTGCACCAAGATTGTCGCTGTTTACAAGAAGCTGTCCCTTCTCAGACAATCCTCCAGATTGTTCGAGCAGCGAAACAGCTTTGCCACACTGCGAGACTTGTTTCGATGGGCTTCGAGACCTGTGGATGACTGGCAGCAATTGGCACATCACGGCTTCATGCTCTTGGCTGAACGAGTCAGGGAACCTGCAGAGCGCGCCGTGGTCAAGAAGATTCTCGAGGAAACTATCAAAATTGTCATTGACGAAAGCATTCTGTATGGCGTTCCGCGGATTCCGAACACCGTTCAGCACCATGATTCGATTGTGTGGACTCCAGCGATGAGACGAGTCTTTGTTCTTGTGTCTGAGGCATTGAAAAATCACGAACCGGTTCTCTTGGTCGGCGAAACTGGATGTGGAAAGACTCAAATCTGTCAAGTGATTGCCGAAGCGTCTGGTACGCCGCTCGACATCTACAACGCACATACGAATACTGAAACCGGTGATCTTATTGGTTCTCAGCGACCAATTCGTAACCGTTCCGAGCTTGCCAACCATGTACGGGCAAGTTGGAAGGACTTGGTCCACTCCGGACCTGATGGCACTTTGGCTGACAACCTGGACCTTGACGAGATCGTGGAAGCGTTTAAGGGATTGGATAAATCGAGTTATGACCCCAAGCTCGTCGAGCATCTCAGGGCTAGCATCGGGGCATACGAAGCTTTGTTTACTTGGAACGACGGAAGCCTCGTTCGGGCGATGAAAAAGGGTGAATATTTCTTGCTCGATGAGATTTCGCTGGCCGAAGACTCTGTTCTTGAGCGCCTGAACAGTGTCCTGGAGCCTTCCCGGACAATCTTGCTCGCGGAAAAGGGCTCTACTGACAATCTCGTTGTCGCACACCCAAGATTTCAATTTCTCGCCACAATGAATCCAGGCGGGGACTACGGGAAGAGGGAGCTGTCGGCGGCACTACGAAATCGATTGACTGAGATCTGGGTACCTCCTTTGTCTGAAGAAGCAGACCTCCTACCTATCATCGAGAATAAACTAAGGACAGGGAAAATGGACCTGGCCAAGAAGATGCTCCAGTTTGCCGCCTGGTTTCGTACCGAGTTCCATAATGCGGCGTCCAAGAGTATCGCATTGCGAGATCTGTTGGCCTGGGCAGACTTTATCAATCGGGCTGAGTCACTGGGCGAAGAGTCAGCTTTCGTGCACGGGGCTTTCATGGTCTATATTGATTCTATTGGGGCGAATCCAGCTGGGATGACCTCCATGGGTTCTGGAGACTTGAATTGGTCAAGGCAAAAGTGTCTCAATCACTTACAAACTCTGGTGAGTATCGATGTGGTTGAGAGCTATGAACAAATTCCCCAACTTTCGTCTACAGCTGAACACCTACTTGTTGGCCAATTCTCTCTTCCTCGAATCAAGAATTCGCAGCTGCAGACAGCCGATCTCGTCTTCAACGCTCCGACTACCGCCAAAAATACCATGAGGATCATTCGCGCTTTACAAATGCCCAGGCCCATCCTGTTGGAAGGTAGTCCTGGCGTAGGCAAGACGGCAATAGTGACAGCGCTTGCCCAGGCTTGTGGGAGGGAGTTTACTCGAATCAACCTGTCCGACCAGACAGACCTTATGGATTTGTTCGGCGCAGATGCTCCCTCCGAGAACGAGGGAGTAGGGAAGTTTTCATGGCAAGACGGACCTCTCCTCAAGGCCATGCAGTCCGGTGGATGGGTCTTGCTCGATGAAATGAACCTGGCATCTCAATCCGTTCTGGAAGGACTGAATGCCTGTCTGGATCACCGTCGAGAAGTATATATTGCGGAGCTGGACAAGTCTTTCATCTGTCATCCGGATTTCACCCTGTTTGCTGCGCAAAATCCTCATCATCAAGGTGGAGGTCGGAAAGGACTTCCGGCTTCCTTTGTCAATCGATTCACCGTCGTCTACGCGGATTCTTTCCAGCGCGTGGATTTGGTTCGCATTTGCGAGTCCAGGTTTCCAGAAGTCGACGGCGAACAACTCGAGAGTGTGATTAACGTAGCCTCACAGCTGGAGCAGGCGATTGCTCAAAACACAGCTTTTGCGCATGGAGGGCCTTGGGAGTTGAACCTCCGTGACGTGAATCGGTGGCTTCAACTATGCAAAGAGCAGCCGATGATTCCCTCGTCCTATCACCTCCGTACTATCGTGACAGAACGTTTTCGCACGCCTGTCCAAAGAGACCTCGTCCTCAAGGAAGCTGGATCAGGCTACACTTCCACAACACCTGAGAGCTATTACCACAACATGACTGAAACTCTTATTCAAGTTGGCAATGCCTTTCTACCTAGGGATCCCGTTTTGCAGAGCACTGAAGCGCCAAACACAGCTCCGTCGGCACGCCAACTTCCCGCTTCAAATTCTATCATGACCGCTGTTAAACAGAACTGGCCGATCATCGTGGCCGGTCCCTCTGGCTCTGGAAAGACAACTCTAATTCGGTATCTCGCAGCTGCAGCGGGGGTCGAGCTCATCGAGTTCTCAATGAACTCGGACGTGGACACGATAGACCTTGTTGGTGGTTTCGACCAGTACGACCTCCGCCGTGACATCAGCAGGTTCCAGACCAAAGTACGAGAAGTGCTCCGAGAACGAATCGCGGCGTCCCTGGGCAATAAAGCTGATGGGGAATGCCAATCTCAACTGCTGAGCCTGTGGCGATTCTTCGAAGGCGATGATACAGAAGTCCCTGAACTTCGGGCAGCGATATTAGATTTGGCGTCTGTTTTGCCGGAACTTCGAACACAAGTCGAAATGATATCAAGGCTCCTCGATTCAAGTGATCATCAAAGCTTGCGGTTCGTATGGAATGATGGCGTGCTCGTCGATGCTGTCGAGAAGGGTTCGTGGCTGTTGCTCGAAAATGCCAACTTGTGCAACCCATCCGTTCTGGACAGGCTGAATTCATTGCTCGAACCAGGTGGATCGCTGGCCATTAGCGAGCAACACAGTGGGAGCACCGGGACGAGGATCATTGAGCCGCATCCGAATTTCAGGATATTTCTGACAATGGACCCACGCTACGGGGAGCTTTCGAGGGCGATGAGGAATCGATCGCTCGAGGTCTTTATGCCTGATATCTATGAGAGCCATGATGTTGCTGCAGTCCAGTACCCGGTAGCTTCTGCCCTCACCCGCTTGCGATATTTGTCGGAAACCTCTGGTCAAATTCGACAAGCTCACAGTGTCGAAGCCGCGGTTGACAATCTTGATCATGCAGACATGATGTTGGTCTCAGACGCGAATTTCCCCATACCTGCTTCTGATCCTGACCATTTACTGCAACACGAGATCCAAAAGAGAAGTCTACTCGAGGTGGAAAGCGTGTATCAAACCTTTGCTTCTCTGAGTCTTTCTACAGACCACCGATTTCCGCAAATGATTGTGCTCAACGAGCCACTGGTCTTACTTGAAGCGTTCTCTAAGGATGCGCTCTCAAAGTCTTCGTTCACAGAGCTGTTTACCAGGTACTGGTATATCACGCGGCAGTTGGCAGAAATCAGTTCGATCATGTCGAACGCATCAAGTCGAGCCAAAACTCTCGCTGTCAAAGACCAGACCATCCTCGAGCGATCAACCTCTGTCTCCAAGAGAGAAGCAGTTGGGACAGTGCCCAAAATTGCGGCATTTGGCAGGCTTGTGATTTCATCAATGTCAGAAGTCATTCGCAGAGAGATCCAGATGATGAGCAATTTGGACATGCCAGAAGTTATCGCACAGATCCTGACTTTTGCCCAAGAGCTCATACTCCTTTGGAACACAAAAACGAGCGATATGGCTGTTTTTCAGGCATATCTACAAGTCGGAGGTGACTTGATGCACCGCGTTCAGCAAGAGTCTCCAGAGATCTCCTCTCAATTCACATCGTGTTTGCAGGCTTTGGGGGATCATAATCCAAGACTGAAGACTGGATTCGGACTGCAGCACATGTGGCCAAGATTCCGCCCAAAGACAGCAAGCACTTGGTCACAACTCAACTGTCAGATTCAACTGGAAGAGCTCATCGGGAGATTCGATCTCGCCTGTCGCTCATTGTCACAACCTCGAAGCTCACTCTCGGGTCTGAGGCGCAGACTGCAAGATGCGTATGTGTCCGTTATCGAGTCAGGACAATCAGAAACCCTAATGCTGGATCTTCAAGAAGTTGTGTCAAGGCTGCAGGAGCAATCCACGAAGGGATTTCTTCTTGAAGGAAAATTTGAGAACGTCATCAGATTCATATACCAGGCAGTACAGTCGCAGAAGTGCATTACGGACGAGACACACCTCGGAAACCTGGCCATGTTCATACACCAGTCTGAGAGACCATCACTTGCTCTTGGGCCCGAGATTTCTGTGCCCACTTCATTGGCCCGCCTTGCTTCCCTAAATGCTGATATTCTGCTGGACGATGGCTCGATTGGATTGCAATTGAGTGCTCAGCTTGCCTCAGCTCAACAGCAACCTCTCGGCGCCCTAAGTCATGCGAAAGAAGAACTACGAACACTGACGAAAGCGCTGGCAACCCACACATCTTTACTTGGCAACATCGTCTCTCCGTTGAAGGACGACCTCCTCTCAATTCTGGAAGGCCTGATGTCTTCCTTCCATGCTCTTTTGACGCCGGAGGCAAGGTCATGCTTTCCCGAAGGAGGTACAGCAGACATATCTCAGCTAGCCACCATGTCAAGCAACGATATATTTTTGAAGGGGCCCAACAGCGAGATTCTCAGCCAAGTGTACGACAAACTGATTCTCCCTGTCGTGCTGCAATTACAGGTCGGAGATAAGTTTAATCCTCAGGAGCTCAAAACATGTCTTGTTACCTTGTCCCTCGCTGGCCTCATCCTCATGGTACCAGATAAGCCCTTGGACCCTGCAACATACCCGAAGATCGTGTATCATCTCCATGAACGCCGACAGGGCGAGCTGGTTTCCCGAATCGAGGGGCAAAGGCAATTCCACCGGCAAATGATGGGGACGGACACAGCTCTTGTTATCCGGATCCTGCAACAAGAGCTCCTCAAGTTGGGTACCGTCTCCCCGCCCCAAGCGGTGGTAAGGCCAGGCAAAGACGAACTCTTCAAGCTCCAGGAGATCTTTACGAGAATTGTCGCTGTCGTCCTGGACTACCAGGGTACTCAGGGACTGCGACCGGGCAGTGCGGAATGGATCGAGCAATGGTCTAGCCAACAAGGAATGTCAAATCTGAGGACCATTATTGAACGACTCGAGAGCTCCCATCGAGCGTTCGATGACTTTACGAAGCCGATTCTATGGTTCTTGAGATGCCTGTATCTTGCTTTGGAGCTTGAGATTGAGGAGAGAAGTCGAACCAGCAAACCGGTAGCTCTTCACGAACTTATCAACAGTACCCCTCTATTGGGTGATAACCCTGCTACTGTTCAACATTGGAAACCCCGTCATGCTGCATCTCCAGCAGTGAAACTTCACTGGCTGGATTATATCGGAGTGAGAACTGCTCTAACAACAAAGGAAGATGGCCTCCTCACCGAGGAGTTCCTCAGGGTCATCGACAGCTATTACTTCGAATGGAAAACTCGCCTGACTCAAGACCAAGCCGACGCTGCAACGAGGTCTCGCTACTACACTTACCGAGGGGACACCTTTGACGACGAGGCAGGCGAAAGTCGCGAAATTAGGGAGATGTTTCCACAATTTGAAGACGGAGATGACGACGTGGCCGCTGAGGCGCATCAACAAGAATTCAACGCTCGTGCTACGGCGACACAACTCAGTACGCTACATCAGAAGATCTACACCAGACGAAACCCGCAGGAAGCCGTCGAAGCATTCATTCTGTCTACCTTGGAGCTAATGCCCAAGATCCCTGGGGCTGCCGGGGCCACTGGACATTCGTTTCTCGACCTTCTACCAGCCGTCTTTCTGCAGCTGCAAGCAAAAATGGACGAGTTCGCTGGCGACAACAGTGCCCGCGCCTTCAACATATATACCGACTCGGACGTCAAGCAAAGCCAGAAGCTGCTGGATATGGTGCACGACATTCAATCAAGATTCTACACCATCCAGGAGAAATGGCCTGAACACGCAGTCCCAGCCGAGGTCCTGTCATTTTGTAACGAAGTCCTCCGTCTGAGCTTCGGTGATCCCATCGCCAAACTTCTGACCAAGACAGAGAAGCTGTACGAGATCGTGTCGCAATGGCAAAGTATTGCTAGCAGGGAGTGGTCGGTTAGCACACTTGTCGAGCAGCTATCGTCACTGATCATTAGCTGGAGACGTCTGGAGCTCCTGTCTTGGTCAAGGCTACTGGATGAAGAGAGGCGTAAACACGAAGAAGACGCTCAAGCTTGGTACTTCATCGCCTATGAGGCTGTCATCCACAACTCCAGAAACCTCGACACCGGGGATGGAGGTTTTGTTTCTTATCAACGACATCTGGTCGTAACCCTGCAGGAGTTTCTCGGATCTGCGACGTTGGGTCAATATTCGGCCCGCTTGCGGCTGCTCGACACGCTCAATAGGACCTTGCAGTGCATGACAGGTACCCATCAGCACCTCCAAGCGATCACTGCCTGCGTACAAAACGTCATTGATCATTATCGCCGGTATGAGGGTGGTGTCGAGGACAGGTTGCACAAAGATCGTGCTGGACTCGAGAAGGCTTTGAGCGAGCAGATCAAACTAGCAAGCTGGAAGGATACGAATGTCACAGCTCTCCGTGAAAGTGCACGTCGATCGCACCACAAGTTATTCAAGATCGTGCGCAAGTATCGTGCGCTCCTCAACCAGGGTGTTGTATGTTCGGCGCCTGAAGACTCGAAGCAAGATTCTCCAACAAGCGGCGTGGCAGATCTTCTCACGCCTCGCTACAACCATGAGCTAGTCGCAGATGCACTGGGACGATGTCGCCTGCTGATCGATGATTGGACTTCACGACCTGAGCGTCTTACGCAGCCGCTCGGCGCAATGAGAAGCATGCAACATGTGTACAAGTCAAAGGATTCTGGATTCCAAGCGCACATGGAGATCGCCTCCTTCCGAGAAGACCTGCTTGAAACGACAAAGCAGTTGAGGACGCAGACGCCATCAGCATTGACAGAGGACAACGCTTCGTTTGTCCGCCACCTCCAGGAGAGGAAGAGAAGACTGCTCGCCGATACACTGAAAGCAGTTGCGCACATGGGAATCAGACGAAATCTCCCGACCTCTGAGCTTGAGCGGCAATCGTCGTGTGCCACGATCCTCGCGTTGGTGGCAGGTTCACCAGTGAGTCCACATGGGTCAGCCGAATCCGATGCCAACGCCTCATTCCACCAATTGCTCGATGTCATGCCGGAAGTTCGCGCAGCTCGGGCGGATCATTCTGACGACCTCACCGAAGGCGAAATCAACCGCTCTGTTGGCCTTTTGGAAGGCTTGCTGTCCCTAACAATCCGTCAGCGGCAAGTCAGTCCACAGCAAGCGTCCGACACTGAGGGATTGAGCTCTCTACTGTCGATGCTCAGATCCGTGGTGTCATCTTCGTCTGGCCAGATTCTGCGATCTTCCGCTTCCGCTCACAATATCGACTTTGTGCTAGAACGCCTCGCGTGGCTCGCAGAGATCTTGAATATTGCCCGTCACATCTTGACGTTCCAGGCAGAACAAGGAGAGTTTGACATCAAAGGCTGCTTGGACTTACTCAGTTCTTACACTACTCAGATCAAAGACTTGAGAACCGGTCTTCTTGGTTTGCCTGCAGCACCCGTGGGGATGGCGTGGGAGACGTCACAGGCACTGACGGAGAAGTTTCGCGACCTCGTTTGTCAACTCAGATCTTTCCTCGTGGAATGGCAAGTCAACGAGCCTCGTATCGAGTACCTCATGCGCAAGATCGTTCCCTGGACTGAGATGATGCCGCAACCGACGACGAACGGAACACAACTTTCTCCGGCGCATTTCTCTGTTCGAGAGCTGGACCAGAACCTAAAGGACGTGGTAGATCAGGTTTTCGTGGCAATGCAACGCCTGTCTTCCCTGTCGTTGGAGATGCCCAGCTCGGAGGAAGACCAAGGATGGCTCTCGAACTCGGACAAGCACATCGTCGAGGCACTGCGCGTGCTGCAGCTGAGCACTATCAGCAACCGCCTCGAGGTATCAGTGATGCACAAACTTCAATTCCTTGTTCCCGAGGACTTTGAAGCCGCCAAGAACTTGTTACTCGTGGCGATGCCAGTCTTGGACCAGTATTACCACATATGCGAGCATCTCCATCAGCGGCATGTTGCGCTGCACCTGGAGACGTCCCGCCTTGCCTTGCAGCTGGCCAGGTCTTTCACGTCGATGGCAAAACAGGGGTTCTGTCGTCCCTCGGAGCCTGCAGATGGTGAGGAGCAGACAGGCAAACTAGAGTCCGGGACCGGGTTAGGGGAAGGAGAAGGCGCCGAGGATATCAGCAAGGATGTCCAAGATGATGAAGACCTGTCTGAGCTTGCACGCGAAGGGCAGAAGGAAGAGAGAGACGGAGAAATGGAAAAGACAGAAGATGCGGTTGACATGGACAATGAGGACCTTGAAGGTGAAATGGGTGACTCTGACGAGAAACGCTCGGACCAAGGCGATGACAAGGACCAGTCAGGTGACGAGGAGCAAAACGACATCGACGAAGAGACCGGCACTGTTGACGACCTTGACCCCAATGCTGTGGACGAGAAACTCTGGGACGACCTCAAGAACGAGTCGGAGAAAGAGAGGGAGATGAAGAATGACAAAGCGAAGGGGCAAAAATCAGATGATCAGACTGCAGGAGATGGGAACCGGGACGAAGGAGACGACGTGGAAGATATGGAGGGGCTAGAGGAGGAGGTCGACCAAGACGGCGAAGACCAAGATGAGGGAGGAGAGCGTCCTGAAGGCCAACAAATGGACGAACATGTCGAGGAAGAGAAGGCCCTGGACCTTCCCGAGGAGCTGCAGTTGGCCGGTGACGAGGAGATCAAGGACGATGATATTTCAGATGATGGCATGGAAGAGTTGTCGGATATAGACAACCCGAAGGAGGAAGTCGACGGCGATGGTTTGGAAGACGCTCAGGAGACTGAACAGCAGGAGGATCATTTCGGTAAAGACACCGACGAGAACGAAACCGACACAGGAGAAGAACAGGCCGAGAGTGGGGTGGCTCAAGACGATGAGATTATGGAGGATCAGCCCGAAGCAGAGGAAGACGAAGAGGAGGGCGATCGTGACACCCGCGAAGACGACACTGCTCACGATGTGGAGGAAACCGCTGGTGGAGAGTCTGGAGCAGCAAACGAGGTCCAGGAGAACGTCGATGCCGAACAGAACGTCGAGGGTATGAACCAGGCTGACACGGAGCCAAACCCACAACAATCTCAGCCCGGCAAGGCGTCGGAAGATGAAGAACAAGGAAAGACCGGCACTGGAGCCTTTGAGCGCGGCGCCGGACGGGCAGAAGATCTCGAGTATCAGCAGAACCAATCGTTGAAGCAGTTGGCGGATGTACTCGACCGATGGCATCAACGTCGCGAAATCCTGCCAGCATCGGAAGAGCAAGAACGGGCAAACGACCAAGGAGATGTGGACATGGCAGATGTGGATTTCGAGCACGTGCGGGACGAAGATGAGGGCGACGCACAGGCCCTTGGTGCCGCAGCGACAGATCAGGCTCAAAATCTTGACCCCAGCAAAGCCATAGAAGACGAAGACGCGCCCATGGACGAGGATACAGCCCTTCCGGACGTTTTGGAGCCGGAGATGCAGGAAGATATCGCGGAGAGATTCAGCCGTCTCAAGGCCCAGGCCAATCCAACAGGGGAAGCGCGAGATGGAGGTGCTTTCGTGCCTGACCATCAGACCCAGTCGAGGGAATATGACGGACAGCCAGATTCTGGCGACACAGCATCTGAAGATTTATCGCCTGACATCGAACACCTCGAGCTCCGCGGCGGCGACCAAGCACACCCGGCTCCCCTTCCAACGAGCAGCTCCAACGCCGCGCAGCTTTGGCAGCAGTGTTCGGCCAGCACGCACCAATTCTCACTCGTGCTCACGGAACAACTCCGCCTCATCTTGGCACCTACGACGGCCACGAAGCTTCGCGGCGACTATCGCACCGGGAAGCGGCTCAACATCCGCCGCATCATCCCTTACATCGCGTCCAACTACAAGCGGGACAAGATCTGGATGCGGCGCTCGGTGCCCAGCAAGCGCAACTACCAGATCATGGTGGCCGTGGACGACAGCAAGTCCATGAGCGAGTCCGGGGCCGACGTCCTCGCGTTCGAGACGCTGGCGCTCCTAACAAAGTCCCTGGCCATGCTCGAGGTCGGGGAGATCTGCGTGGTCGGGTTCGGCGACGCCCCGGCCGTCACGGTCGCGCACCCCTTTGGCCGGCCCTTCTCGCCGGCCGAGTCGGGCCCCCAGGTCTTTCGCTCGTTCAGCTTCGAGCAGCGCGGCACGGACGTCAAGGGCCTGCTCAGACAGAGCATCCGTCTGTTCCGCGACGCGAGGACTCAACAGTCAGCGGGCAGCAGTGCACAAGAGCAGTGGCAGCTCCAACTGATCGTCAGCGACGGGCACTGTTCCGACCACGCCGGGATCGCGAGATTGGTCCGCCAAGCGCGCGACGAGGAGCGCATCGTGATTGTCTTTGTCATTGTCGACGCCGGCGACGAAAGTATCCTCGATCTCAAGGAAGCGGTGTTTGAGCCCGATCCCAGCCACGCCGTGTTGTTGGGTGGTGGTGGTGCCGGCACTTCTTCAGGCCAAGGAATCGGCGAAATGCGAGTCCGCACAAAGAGATACCTCGACGGGTTTCCTTTTCCGTACTATCTCGTCGTCAGGGACGTCAGGGACTTGCCGGGTGTGTTGGCGACAGCGCTCAAGGGGTGGTTTGGGAGTGTCGTCGACGTGCAGGGGTGATGTTTGGCATGACCTGACCTGACCTGACCGCACTCACTGACAGCACCGACTGACTTACCTTGGTCACATAGGTATGTAACACATAGATCTGTCTAGCGCTGGATGTGGTTTCAGGTGTCGGAGATGTCCAGAAGAAAAGAAAAAAACAGAACACGCCTGAAGAATGTGAATGTGGGCGGTAAAAAGGAGCGAGAGGAGAGTGAGTCACGGACAGGAGAGGAGGCGCACAGGTAATAATAATAATAATAGGTAGATAGGGCTCATAAGGTAGATGAACAGATCGGTCCGTGAGTTTGCCGGATTGGGCAATTGAGTATTCATACCTCCCCCTAGTAGATACCTACTTCTGTAAAAGAACACGAGGAAAACATGACGCACTGGTAAAAAAGTGAAGAATGACATGGCCTGACTATTACATCTTAGATGGCGATGGGACGGGTAGGTAAGTCAGTACTAGGTACGTAGTAAGTGACTAGAGCCACGGTAAATAGGAGTAACAATAATAACAACACGAGTAACAGTAACAGACAACAGTAACAATAACAGTAACAGTAACGAAGTAAGCAAGCAACCAAGTGACTCTGATTTCTTCATACTCTTCAATGTCAACCCTTAAAAAAAATAGGTGAGGCATGCATGTTCTCCAAACACATCAAGCAGAAAACCAAAAACGCATACGAGGTACACAACTTCGTACACTTCTACTCTGGCCGTCGCCTGGACCAGATCCTCTCGTCTCGTCTCGTCGAGACACGACTCGCGGACTCGGGAGTTATCTGCTGTGTGCTACCAAGATGGATGATGCTTCAGACGACAACGACAACGACAACGGGGTCGCTGGCCGTAGTGGTTCTCCCACCCGAGTGACGCGATCCGGTTCATATGACTGCGCAGGCCAAGTTCAAGCGCAACGCCAACATTCCAGCTTCTACGCTGTAGTCGTCCCCAAGACCAGAGACCAGAGCCTCGTCCAGCATGCACGGGAAGCTCTGCTGCTGATGGGCTGTGACTGGAAATCTCAGGTATGTGTTCGGTTTGCAACCACTCCACAGCTCTGTTTCCCCGTTAGCATTTCTTGCATCTGACACAGTTTGCGCAATACTGCAGCACCAATCTGTTTCAGAGGTTATTTCCGCACCGGGGATCAGTCGGGGATCAACACGGCACTCTGGTCATTCTGGCTCGGACAATCCTTCACAAGACCACAGAGATGAAGAGCACTATGAAAATGACAAACAAGGGAACATCAATCATCTCCACATGAGCGGCAGCAGCCCACGCCTCGATGGTGGTGGTCAACGTACGCGCGGCGGTTCTCAGACGACGAGACAACAGACTGGCGAACGCTGCCAGCGTTGCATCCTCCAACGAAAAAGATGCGACGCCGTGAAGCCTGTCTGTGGCAACTGTGCGCAGAGGAAGCGCGACCCTGATTGTCAATGGCCAGGGCCCGTGACACGAAGTCAACTGCTGGCAGCGAGGCATCCGAATGCAACACCTTCACTGGCTTGACGAGAGCGGTGAGATCAGTCACCGCAAAACCGTAAGTGAGTGCAATAGCCTGGCCAGCAGAAGTCACTGTCAATGGCTCCAGGCATGGCAGAAAACTTCACAAGCCGAATTGTCTAAATGCAAACCCACTGCGCAGTACCTCCAAGATATGGTCGAGCCATGATCAACGTCAAGAACAGACAGACACACAACCATAGCACCTTGCTTACCCAGTATCCACGGAACCCCTTCCCTCCTCGCAATGCATTGGGTCTCAAAAGGCGTTTTGCCGCTTGAGCCAGACAGCGAGTACTCTTTTGATCGAAGAGATAACGCCATCGAAACAAAGCTCGACGGTGCTTGCCGTGCATCCCCATCATCCACTCTGGAGCCAACCAGGAACACCGATTAGTCGACATGAGTCCCGACCGTCTAGCAATCTAGCAAGCGACCCATTCTGGCACAGTGTGCACACGACTCGCAGACTTCCACAGGCGGAAAAGCGTGGTGATGGTAACCAGGATCGATACAATCCTACTCGGAGCGGACCTCGGATGAGACTGTTGAACAGCAGGAGCGTGTTGCATCCACTATGGTTATATCGACAGTGAACAGGACGATAGCATCATGGACCAATTGTGAGCTGGGAGTAGAATGTCGAAGATTGATTTTCGGACGGTTCTTTCCACCATGAAACTCTTGACCCTTAACCCACACAACTGGTTCGCCTAGGAGTTTCTTTGGCGCCCGTGATTCGAAGCAGGGGAGATTACTGGCGGACCTTGGAAGAGGATGTTCTTTATTTTTTTTCATTCCGGATATGATCATTTTATCGCCCTCGGTCGCAAGGAAGGATAGCAGAACATCGATGCTGTCGTAAAGACCTGTGGTTAAAAGCACCTACGGAGTTGCTGAAACGTGGATCGTCTCCATCTCCAATATACATAATATTACCATCCGTACTTGCTTCCAGCTTCCTTCTTATTCCTTCTGCCACTCGCAAAGCTCTCTTCAAGTGCCTCTTTCTGCCCAGTAGCCGCATTCACCAGCTGCTTCAGGCTATGCTTGCCTGGAGCGATGGCTCGAACGGGATTGTGCTGCACTTGCTCGCCGCTTGCACGCAGTGCTTCGTTCGCCGCATATTCTTGATCTGTATTGAAGTTGACTACGTTGATGGCCGTACCGCCTGATTGGCCGCGGCGACCAAAAAGCTGTCGCCGGTCTGCTTTGGAGAGATTCAGGTCGGAAGCGATAGAATCGAGGGACTGAGGCTGGTAGTGCGCTGGTCCATCGACAGGACCTTCTGTTGCTGAGGGCAATGTCGCGTCAGGAGCATCGTCCAGAAATTCGACGATTTCGTCCTCCTCAGACGTATCTCGAGGCAGTTGCACCGTCGGTGCCTCTTCACCCATCGAGAAGAGACTGACTTTCTTCGACGGAGGGGCAGGCTCAGTCACCTGGACCGTTGCAGATGATGTATCCCCCAACCCAGATTGTGTGGGCACGTCCTGCCCTTGCGTGATGGCTGATTTCGGTCCGTTGGCTTTTCGTTTTGGCTTCTTGTTATTTCTTGCCACGGAGAGGGGTTTGAACATGAAGGGGTTTCCTTGTATTGCTGGTTGCTTCGGTCCGTTTGTGGCGGGTTCGGTTCGTTTTGGGACTGAAGGTATGGTCTCGTCGGCGTCAGGGTCTGTAGTATGCCTTTGCTGCTCTTGTTCTGCAAATAGACTCCGTAGCTCCTCATCTGCCTCTCTGCTGAATCCAGGCTCGGCGCCAGTCTTCAGGCTAAAGACCTTCCTTGTAGCAGCCTTCGGAGGGGCTTTTGCATCGGCATCTCGTTTGGGCGCAGGCAGCATTGAGTTGAAGCCGCTGAATGTTCCACCGCCGCCACCAATTCGAGGCCGTTTCGGGGCAGGCTCTCCATCCGAGCTGCCGTTTACGGGGGTATCTTGTAGCTTGACTTGGATCTTTCTAGGGTTTGCTTTGTTGATGGTAAAGGTAGTGTTCGGGTTGGTCGCAGTCTTCGTCGAGGGTTTGTCAGATTTAGGTTGCGATGAGACCTTTTCGTCGTCCGAGCTCTCGGAATCCGAGTATGCGACCAGCGCCATTGTGATATCTTTGGGATGTCTCAGAAGGTAACAAGTCCAGCCTGGCTGAAGAGGCGAGAAGGCGAGGAAGACGTCGAGGCTGCATGAAGGTCACATGATTTCACTCTTTATTACCCTGCGTCATTTCAACTTCTGCCTTTGCTCTGCCTTTCCCCGAAGAGCTTCATGATACTGAAATTTTGATCTTTGGACATCGACCAGAATCGTGCTTTGCCTGTCACAGGTCGCGGGAACTATCTCATTGTGCAACAGCTGGAAACCTTTGGATCAGGAGAAGGTCACTGAGAACAGTCTGCGAGACGCCTCTGCCCTCCCATGTTCACCTTCCGGGCATTCCAGCGAGCTGCCAGCCAAGCAGCTCGCCAACGCTTTCCATCAAGCTCCCAAACTGCTCCCAATTTCAAACAAGCGCCTCGCTTTGAGCCACGGCGATATGCCTCTTGGGGTCCGAGGTCACGTTACAGGCGATTTGACGATGGAACCGGGTATGGACAGGGACAACAGCGAAAGGGCCAGCAGTGGAGCAACTTTGGTCCCGTCTATCGTATGCAGTACCTTTGGCGGAATTACCAGACGCCACTGACTGTGGTTGGTGTGAGCGGCGGAGCATTCTATGTCTACAACCTCGAAGAGGTCCCAGTCACTCACCGACGACGCTTCAATATGCTGTCTCCCACGTCAGAGAAGGAATTCTTTGGTTCCGCTGAAATGTACAAATCTGTACTAAAAGAATTCCAAGGCAGGATTCTTCCAGCCGACCACCCTCTAACTATGCAGGTCGCCAAAGTTGTCGAAAGGCTGCTTCCAACCACCCGCGGTCTGGCAGGTGATGACTGGCGGGTGCATGTCATCAATGAACCTCGGGAGAAGAATGCTTTTGTGATGCCCGGCGGCAAAGTTTTTGTCTTCTCAGGCATTCTACCTATTTGCCAGAGCGAGACGGGTCTTGCCGCCGTCTTGGGCCATGAGATCGCTCACAATGTCGCTCATCACGCTGCCGAGAGGGCATCGAGGTCCAGCATCATCCTTCTCGCTGCCTGGGCCGTGTCTCTCGTTTTTGATATCAGCGGCCAATCTGGGAGGGCTATCGCTGACCTGCTGTTATCTCTTCCGAACTCAAGGACGCAAGAAGCGGAAGCAGACCGGATTGGCCTTCTGATGATGGCCGAGGCTTGCTACGACCCTCGAGGAGCTTTGGACTTCTGGCAACGCATGAAGCAAGCTTCGGAAATGGAACCTCCACAGTTCTTATCAACGCATCCGAGCCACACCAGCCGTGCAGAGCAGATCAAAAAGTGGCTCCCAGACGCCGAGAGGGTCTATGCTGATACAGGATGCGGCACTGCAAGCGGATTCGAGGACGCGTTCAAGCAAGCTCTTACGTTCCAACGGCCCGGAAGGGAGGGCCAAGTTAGACAGCAACGTCCGATCATGGTAGGACGGAATGACGACGACGACGATTTCTTCTGAGGACAACAGAGTTTCCCCAACAAGGAATAAAGTGTGGTCTTTTTCCAACGCTAAATTTGGTGAGCTCATGCGCTTACTGTACAGCCTACTGGAACCGAAGCACACATTATGCGAGCTACGGGTATTTTCGACTCTGGAGAAGCTCATGTTCGCACTACACGTGACACCCCGCTCCCTGGTTTGTACATTATGCTTTCATGCACGGACTCCGCACTTTGGTACAGCTCTAGCTGCAGCCGTTCTGACGTGGCAAGCGTGATAAAGCCGGAGATGGCCTTCGGCGAGGACGACATATCTCCTCTCAGCATATGTACCAACATTCAACTCATTCAAACCCTCCTCAGACGACTAGGTGACACTGCCATCTTCCACAACGTTTGCAATGACGGGCAAAACAGATGTCCCAGGAGTCGCGCTCATTACTGGCTCAGGCTCGGGCATTGGACGAGCAACAGCTCTATCATTTGCGCAATCCGGTTGCACTCAAATCGCACTGCTCGATCTGAACGAAGACGGTCTCTCGGCTACGAAGAAACTCATCGAGGAGGCAGCTGGGGACAACAACTCTCTCAAAATCCATATTTACAAATGTGACGTCTCCAACCCGGACAGTGTCGCGCGGGCCTTCGCCGACGTCAAAGAAACATTCGGCCGTCTCGACTATGCCGTACATTGCGCAGGGATCATCGTCTTCGGGCGATCAACCGAGTTCTCCCTCGAGGATTTCGACAGGCAGAACAGCGTGAACTACCGTGGTTTGTGGTTGTGCTCTCGCGAAGCCCTTCGGATTATGCGTACTCAATCACTGGACTGCGAGGCCTATCCTGAAGCTCAGATCGCGCCGACTCGTGCCCAGCGTGGAAGCATTGTCAACATCTCCTCGGGCCTCGCGTTAGTGTCGCAGTCCAACTGTCCGGCATACAGTGGTGCCAAGGCCGGCGCATTGGCAGTCTCCCGCTCTGACGGAATCGACTATGCGTCTGAACGTATCCGGGTCAACGCTGTCTTGCCGGGAATAGTGGATTCTCCAATGACAAACCCGGATCCCGAGACGAGAAAGTGGCTCGAAACGAACCCTGTCCAGAGCACGCCAATGAGGAGATTCGGACTGCCAGAAGAAATCGCAGACGTTTGTGTCTTTTTGTCTGGTAACAAGGCGAGCTTCGTCACCGGGGCAGGTTGGTGTGTCGACGGC